TCTCTGGAAACTTCTAGAGAGGAAGGAGTGTGAACCACCAGGAAATTACACTAGCGTGAGGTACCTGCTGTGAGGAGTGGGCTGGGTTCACTCGGGGAGCTCCGCATTGGACAGCCTGCAAGAAGTTAGGCACATAAAGCAGGAAAGAGTACTCCAGGCAGAAGGGGCAGTAAATCCCAGTGTATGTGCAGACGGCAAGTGGGACTCTGTTGCTGCAAGTCTGCTGACTGTGCTGTGCAGGACCCTCTGAGACCAACCAAGACAGTTGCATGTCACCCTGAGCATGGTGGACCATGTTGGTGTCGGAGTCAGCAGCACATTGAAAAGCTGGGTGCCTGTGACATCCTTTGGGGCATCCCTTGTTTTTTCTGTTGCTATGAGGGGTTCTCCATGCCTCCTTCATGTTGTTTCTGAGATGTAAATAGGAGAGGGCTCCTTTAAAAAAAAAGTGCTAAATGTCAGGGGAAAAATAGGGGGAAAGGGAATGTAGGCAGAGCGTAAGGAGGTGCTGGAAAACATGAGAAAGGGCTTTGAATCCTGAGGTGTTTGGGTGCTCAGGTCCTTGCTGTGGATTTGAACTTGTGCTTTCAGGAGGTAGGGGGTCTGGTGCAGACTTGAAGACACAAGAGGACACCCTGCTTAGGTGGGCAATGACACAAGCCTTGGCGTGAGTGTCAAGCAGCACCAGATGAGAAGGGAAAGAGACCAGGGAATGGGCCCCAGTGGGAGAGAGGGTGGCACTGCCTGGATTCATGCGCTGATGCTGAGAGTGGTCCAAGATGGAGGGGAAAAGAAGGACACAGTTTCATTGAGCATCTACTATGTGTCTGGCCCTGTGGTGAGCATTTCTGCACACTCTGCAGCTCACAGGACATTGTCTGTCTCCTTGAAGCACTAACCTCAACTTAGCACAATTCCCAATACCAGGGCCTGTATTGTTTGTCTTGTCCCACTGTGGTATCCCCCGTGTCTGGTACATATTAGGTGCTCCATGATGATTTTGAATGATCCAACTTTTTATTTTCCTCTCCCTTCCCTCCTCTTAAATCTCACTTGATCCTTCGGATAACCTCAAATAAATGTGTTTGAGGTTTGGGAAGTTTGTTTATTTATTTTCATTATTTTATTTTATTGAGACTGGACTGTTATTCTGTTGCCCAGGCTGGAGTGCAGTGGTGTGATCTTGGCTCACTGCAACCTCGGCCTCCAGGGGTCAAGCGATTCTCCTGCCTCAGCCTGAGGAGTTTATCTTAAAAACAACGAGGAGAGTTGTGCCAAGTCCAGTTAGCTGTGGAGCTTACAATGAGAGAGCAAAGGCTTAGAAAGTGTAAATTACTTGCCTAGGGTCAAGTGGTGGAGCTGAGATCTGACCCAGTTGTGTCTGACTATCCTGCATTTCCTCTATAGCTTGCTTCCTCCCTAAGTGAGGGAACCCAGAAGACTTGACCCCAGAGCTGGACAAAGCAAGACCAGTATTTCTGTGCTTGTGTGATGCTGGGTAAATGACTTCTCCCTTGTTGGTTTCTATGCCCTGATCTGCAAGGATCAGGCTGAACTGTAGCTGCAAGGCGAGCAGGCAGGGCCAAGCCCCAGGCCACTCGGGCCATCCAGGAGGAGGAAAGAGGGCTGGAACACTCCTGGACACCTTTGGACTCCACTGGGCGCTGCTGGAAGAGATGTCTTAAGAGGCAGCTGCGTGGGCCAAACTCTATCTGGTCTCTACCTATCCTCTTTTATTTGGTACTTATTTCGTAAAAGATGACTAAGAAAACCTATCTCCAGGCAGTTCTGATTTTCAAATTTCTAACGAAGAAATGTGTTCATATGAATAACTTGTTCAGTGTTTATTCTGAGAGCATCTCTTATACATCAGTCCATCCTATGCCATCTGTCCCAGCTTGTTCAGTTACACAACTATTTAATTGAGTTATTACTTGGTCCTAGTCTTTGTGCTAGAGCCTAGAGAAGTCTGTGCCCTTGGCAGTCACGTTGGGGTGGAAGAGACACCCATGAGAAACATTACGCTCCTGTGTGATAAGAGCCTCCAGCCAGTTCCTTCCATGTGCTGAGGGAGCCTGGAAAGGAAAAGCATGACTAAATCTTGCTGTTCTCTTTTTGCCTGTGCAGGTCTGACTGTGGCCACAGTGAGGCGGGGGGAGGGGAAGCGAGTGGTGGAGAGGGCAGCGCCATTTCCCTTCTTGATTGGGCTGGCCAGCAACCCCAGGAGGAGGGGAAGAGCAAAGAATTTCCAAGGTGGCCACATTTTCCCCTGTCTGTTTCCTGCATCTAAAGGACCTGCAGTTACATTAGGCTGATTGACCACCCACTTGTGTCTTCTCTCTCTCCTGACACCCTATGGTAAAGGCAGAAAAAAGTATTCATCTCTTGTAGAAAGACCATTCGACCCAGCAATCCCACTCCTGGGTATATACTCAAAGGAGTATAAATCATTCTATTATAAAGATACAGGCACATGAACCTTCACAATAGCAAAGACATGGAATTAACCCGAATGTCCATCAATGATAGACTGAATAAAGAAAATGGTACACCCTGCACATGTGCCCCGGAACTTAAATTAAAAGTGGAAAGAAAAAGATGGATGCATAGTGCATAGTAGGATGAATAGCACATAGTATTTATTCATCTCTAACGACAAAGAGAATAGGATAGAGACAACAGTAGTTTGTGGTTTCAACCGCTTTTCAGGTGGCAGGAAGCAGTGGAAAGGATAAATGGTACTTGGTTGGTCTGAGCAGAGGAAGTTAGTTGTGGACTGTGCAAAAAGTGTATTCTCAGAGGCAGTTGCACATGAAGATGAAAAGACCAGGGCTCAAGTTCCATTGTCCCTGAGGTCAGCATGACCTTGGACAAGTTACTTTCCTCTCGTTTCATCATAATATGAAGTGATCATACGAGATATGTGATTCTTATCTTCTGGTGTCTGAGAAAATTACCTGGAAATTTTTTCTTTCCAACATGTACAGACACATGTGTTCTGATTCTGATTCTGAAATGGGACTAAAATATTCAGATTTGTGCAAAAGCTCTCCCAGAAAACTTTAAGAGCCATTGTTGTAGATAGTCTGAAAGAGCCCTTTCAACTTGGACATTCCCATGTTTGGAGGGTGGACTAAAGGAAAGTGTTGCAGGAATTATATGGCGATCCAGCCATGAGGGTTCTCACAAGAGGCTGAGATCCTATCTGCTAGATATGACAGAAGTGCCTTTGTGGAGACAATGACATTTGCAATGGGTAGGATGTTCACAGAGGGAGATAGAGAGGTGGGCTCTGCAGGTGGAGGTTACAGCAGGAGCAAAATCCCAGAGATAGTACAGCAAGTGGCAGTTATTTGCAATCAGGAATTGCAGTTAACCGAATGTGCTGGCATCCACTGAGGCATACAGACAGTGTGGAGCCACTGCAGGATTTTGAGCTGAAGAGTGCACATTCAGAGTAGATCAGTCTAGCTGTCACTCTGTATGATGCACACAGGCCTCATGATTTCAATGCCTAGATTTGGCTCAGCTACTTTTTCTTGAGCACCTACTATGTGTTCTTTATTCCAAGCACTGCATACATCTTCATGACCCAGTCTTCTCTGTAATGTACATCCACATCTCTCTGCAACCACTCTCTCACTCCTGTCACTCTCCTTGGACCCTACACTTCTGCTTTTCCTGATAATTTGAAATGAAGTGTGCTCCCTTATGCCTTGTTGTCCTCATACAAAACCCTGCCTCTACTTGGCATTCCGCTCTCCACATCAGCACACAGGAGATGTTGCTTAAAGAACATTCTCCTGGCTGGGGTGGTGGCTCACACCTGTAATCCCAGCGCTTTGGGAGGCTGAAGCAGAAGGATTGCTTGAACCTAGGAGTTCAAGACCAGCCTGGGGAACACAATGAGACTCCATCTCTATGCAAATACAAAATTAAGAAAAGAATTATCTAGGAGAGGTAGTGCACACCTATAGTTCCACCTACTTGTGAGACTGAGGCAGGAGGATCGCTTGAACCCAGGAGTTTGAGGCTGTGGGCAACAGAATGAGAGTCTAGGGGGAAAAAAAAAAAAGGGAAAATTCCCTGGCTGAGGTGGGAGGATCGCTTGAGCCCAGGATTTTGAGGCTGCAGTGTGTTTGAGCCACTGCACTCCAGCCTGGGCGACAGAGTGGGACTCTAGAAAAAAAAACAAAAAGGGAAAATTTCCCTGGCAGGACTCTCAGATGCTGGTGAGCAACTCTCAGTCCTCTCTGTAACCCCGATATAAAGCATCTATCTCTGTGCTTACACTGGGTGCCTTTCACGTGTTTATCTGTGAGTAGAAGAGAAGTGGCTCGAGGTCAGGCAGTGCTCCTCATTGATAACTGCCTTCCCTGGGGCTAACCAAGGACTTAGAAAGAATAAGCTGTTGAAAAGTGTTGAGGATTGAAAAAAAAAAAAAAAACAGAAAAAAAGAGAAATGGCCAATATCTAGGCCAGTCACTTGACATAGAGAATGTTATTTAATTCTTATCGCACATCCTTGAGACATGCATTGCTATTTGCATTTTGTGTGAATATGCATTTTGGTAAGTTTATGTAATCCCTCCTCTGCAGAACTGGGATTCAAATGCAGGTGTATCTCTGCTCAGGTCCCAACTCTTCTACCCTGAAGCAGTAGTACATGCCTGGATGGAATGACGTAGGGTTGGATAAGCCACACACAGGCCACTTCCTCTCACTTACTTTTCTTTGCTTCCCACTCAACCAGGGCAGTTCCCACGCACTTTTTCAAGATTCTTATCTGCTCCCACACTTGGGGAAGTTCCCAATGCAACCTATCAATCCATGACCACAAATAACACCCAGGAGAGGTGGGGAAAGGAGTTTACCACATGGTCACTGGGTGTGAGCAACTGTTCCTGTCCCTATGGCTTCCCACTTGTGGCTCCCACCATGGCCTGGAGTTTTGGGTGGAGTTTTTTTTCAAATAAAAGCCCTCGGCATCTCAGGATGGCACAGTGGTGAGCTCTTAGCTTCACCAGGCTCATCAAAGCTGCTCCAGGAAGGCCAGAGCCAGACCAGAAGACATGCAGATCATCACCACAGCCCTGGTGTGCTTGCTGCTAGCTGGGATGTGGCCGCAAGACGTGGACAGCAAGAGCAGTGAGTGTGGCAGGCATCACTTTGTGTCTCTCTAGGGAGGGCAGAAACATGGTCAGCCACTCTGGGGTTGGAGCAGGCCTCCTTGAACTCACCAACTCAGTCTCCCCTCTTCCTAGCTAAAGAGGAGGAATGGTGAACTTGGACGGGCTAGGGGTGAGGGCCAGTAGAAGAACCATGAGTTGGGGCAAACACAGAGAACTGAACTGCCAGCTTCAGTACAAGGAGGCTCTGCTTCATCCAGACCCAAGGGAGGGAACCTGTGAGGTTACTTGGGTAAAGCGGGGAGGCCCGAGGTCCAGGGGAGGGCCTGGGTGTAGCTTCCACAGCGTGACAGACACAAAGCAGAGTCTGAAGGCAAGACTGGGCTCTAACAGTTGGCTACTCTTGGGCAAGTCACTTTAGCTCTCAAACTCTGCTTTCTCTGTCAGTGAAATGGAGTTGATTATGTCCGCTCTCCAAGGCTGTCTGGAGAGTAGCAACCTAGTAAGAGGCATGAAAGGGGTTGCAAATGGAAAAACTAGGAGGAAGAAGCTGGGGTTGGAATGCAGGTCTCTTGCGGGGTGTGGTGTGGGAGGAGAATGCACAAATGAACAGAGTGGGGGTTGGGGGCTGGGAAAGAGCTGAGGACCAGGGCAGGAGGGGATTCAAGAGATTGAGTAGGGCGGCTAGCTAGTTCCTGGGAGCTCTTCCCTTGTCATCTCATCAGCTTGGAGTCCTCAAACAATTCCTAATCTTCCCCAGATCAGGTCTGTGAACTGTGAACCACCGTGTCCTGCATCAGACTGACCAGGTCCCCAGGGTGTGGGGCCCAGGGCCCTTGGACATGAGTATTGGGGTAGAATCATGCATATGCAGTGAAATACCAAAACTGGATGAGCCTTTAGAAACCAGGCTTCAAAAAGTCTTATTTTACAGATGGGAAGTCTAGGGCTGGGGTGAAGGCACATCTTCCTCAAGGCCATTCAGCTGGGGTGCGGGGAGCTCAGATCTGAACCCCAATCTTCTGACTCTTTACCTAGCCCCAGAACGAGGTGGCTGATGAGACAGAGCCATGCCAGCACCCTCCGGATGTGGTCCCCAAACCAGGGCTTGTCCTGGGAGGTGTTTTTTTGCTTGTTTTTTAAAAATTGTGCTACAGGTGAGAGTTTGAGAAATGGATGCAAACCATCGTTTGTGTTCCTCTTCCAGTGCAGGTACCCTTCTCCAGATGTTGCTTCTCATTTGTGGAGAAAGAGATTTCCCTGCGGGCAATCCAGTGTTACAGAAATACCAGCTCCAGCTGCTCCAATGAGGGCTTAATGTAAGTGATCACCTACTCAATCTCTCTCTAGAGAACAGAACCCCGCCAGCCTGGAATTAGAAGAGTAGACACTAGATGACAGTATTTTACCAGAATAAGGTTTCTAAACCCAGAGTTGCCAGCATCTGGGTGCAAACCGCGCTTGGGCGCTAGAGGGAGCACGGAGCTTCCTAGCAGGTGTGAGGAAGGATGCATCTGTGCTCCTGCAGTGACTTGTGTTTCCTGAAACTCCAAGGTGCCAAGTATTACATCCCAGCATTATGAGCTAAGAGGAAGGAATTGTTTAACAAAAGCACAAGGGGTTATTGTGCACTAGGAAGAGCAAGGGAACCAGGATTAGTTCCTGCCTCTAGATTTGGAACCCATAGTCTTGGATGACTGTGGACAGGTAACTCCTTTGTACCTAATTATCTGTGTATCCTTCTGTATTTCTTATCCGTGAAGGGCCGTAAACATAGCTGCATCACAGGGTCTTTACAAACTTAACTGGGGTAGCTTTCACATACCAATCAGTATTTTAAGGCTTTTTTGTGTATATTCTCTCTGTCGATCCTCTTGGGGTACATATTTTTGTTATCATGAAAAGTGAGGTTCCGGAAGGTAGAGATATTTGTCTAAGATCAACTAGATAGTAAGAGACAGAGTTGGTCTATAGATTGAACAATAGTCCAGTTTAGGAAGTAGACAGATCAGAAGAGAAAAATACACACACACACACACACACAGGCACACACACACACACACGCACCAACACACGAGTCCGATGCAACAAGTAAGGCCCCAGATGGACACAGAAACATTAAAGTTGGAGCAGAGAGCTATTCTAGGATGCGAATTTCTCATCGTCAGAATGTTTTCAGGCTCTTCAGCCCCACCCTGATACACCAAATTGAAACCAGGAGAGGGGGCCAGGAAGCTCAATTCATAAGCTCCTGGTGCTTTGGCTGTTCCCCACCGTGCAAACCACACATCCTGTACAGCAACTTCATTTACAGAGGGGAGCCCAAGGCCCAGCAAGAGCAGCTTAGGGGACCTGGCAGCCGGAGGAGGCGGGGCTTGTGTGGTGCTCACCCAGTGGTGGCTTGGGTGGTTCAGCCTTCTCTCTTATTCTCTGTTCACAGATTCAAGCTGAAGAGAGGCAACGAGGCCTGCGCCTTGAACCAGGCTAGATGGGTTCAGAATCACATTAAAAAGCTGAGCCACTGCCTGCCAAAAAGAAAATGAGCAGATTTCTTTCCATTATGGGCTGTGGAAACCACGTAGCTTCACCTGTCCCGGAAACCCCCAGTCCTATACCATTCCTTCTGCCCCGCTTTTGCTGGGTCACAGAGGATCTGCTTGGTCTTGATAAGCTATGTTGTTGCACTTTCTACATTTAAATTATAGAATGATCAACCCCCAGCCCTCTGTGTCTCTTGGATTTCAGAGTGAAAACTTGATTGGCGTTGAGAGGTGGGAGACAGGGGCAGAAGGATGGGGCAGGAGGAGGGAGACATGTTGTACCTGGTGCCAGGGGAACTGAGCTAATAAGTGACTCAGTACCTCTCAGTGACTGCCTTTGTCCTGGAGGGTAAGCTTTGACTCGGGGTGGTGGTGCAGATTCTCTGCCTCTAGATTTGGCTTCCAAGAGGGGTACAGTGGAACAGAAAGTTGGGGTTCACAGCTGGGTCCACATTTGGGTGCAAGACCCTTCTCCATAAGAAGAGAAAAATACACACATACACATACACACACACACAGGCACACACACACACACACACACATGCACCAACACACGAGTCCAACACAAGTAAGGCACTTCTCCCTAAGAAGAGAAAAATACACACACACATCCACACACACACACACACACAGGCGCGTGCGTGTGTACACACACACACGCACCAACACATGAGTCCAGCACAACAGGTAAGGTCCCAGATAGACATAGAAACATTTCTCTGCCCAGCAGCCTCGGGGGGTGATGTTATCACCAAATCACAGCTGCCCTAGTTGGAGGGGATCATGTGAGGTTGTCTGCCTGTAAAATGTTGCTAAACCCATTTTACAGATGAGGTGACTGAGTGCTAAAGAGAGATGCAGCAATTCAGGGGCAGATCTGGTGTTAGAGCCCAGGGCCGTTGCCTCCCAGGATAACTCCTCCAGGTGTCCCAAATTGCCAAGTGTACTGCCTGACGCAGCGTGGTACCAGATCTGGGGGACAGGCCCTGCTGTTGTCAGCAGTGCCCATCTCTCCTTGAGGAAGATCTCGGTGGGTGTCCAGGCATGGGTGGGTTCCGAGTCTGACTGAAATGCCCACCCAGCTTATCTGGAGGAGTGAGGCTGTCTTGGGAAGAGCAGGAGAACCCTCGGTGGACACATAGGAAGAGGAGGCCCGATGCCTTAAAAGGGACATTCACAAGCTCCAATTTGTACAACGTGTGATTCAAGGAGGAATACCCAAGGAAGGAAGTATTTCTAGGTCTTGGGGTTGGCACACCTTTACCTTTAAAGGTCACTTTTAGAGGACAAAGGTCTCATGCTGTGTTTCCCTCATTCCCCATTCAACACGTCACACATCTGGCCCAGTCTTCTTAATCTGTTTCCTCCCCTCCACCCCCATGACTGCCCTTCCTCAGCCCTTATGACTGCCCCCCATCACACATCTGGCCGTCTTCTTTATCTGCCTCCTCTCTTCCACCCCCATGACTGCCCTTCAGCCCCTATTTTCTCTTGCAGTAGGTTGTTTTCAGCCCTCCCTTCTCAACTCCATCTTATCCACAGCCAAAAGTTACTCTTCCTGGCATCCATTCTTCCCTCTGGATAACTCAAAAACCTTCAGACCTTCCTCCTGCCTTTGGAACTGAGTCTAAATTCCCCACCCTGATATTCTAATTCCTCTAGAACCTGCCCTCAACTTTCCTTTCTACATGTCTCCAACTTTTACACTCTAGAAACCCAAATCTGAGCGTTTGGGGATATTCCTCCCAGGCCCTCTCCCCACATTGCCCTCTTGGACCTCCCCTAAAAGAATCTTTGCTATGACCACACTTTCCCATCCTCTAAGGTCTGTTCGGCCCAAGTGCCCTCTTCCCTACCAAGCCTGACGCTCACTAGGACTTACTTGGTCATCTGGTTTCCCTCTGGGTGTCAGGTGCACATGAAGTCTGAATCACTTGCTGCTTCGAGTGGGGAGGCATAGATTGGGGTGGGAGACTAGAGGGGGAGGGAGGGGTTTACTTTTGGCAGGAGTATAATTTTAAAGAAAGAAATGAACTGAATATGAAACTGATGAGTTGCGAGCCAGGAGCACCCATGCTGAGGACTGGAGCCATTGTTCCAGAACAGCCTGGGCTGGTGAGGCAGGCCCTCCCTGAAACTCAGATGAGCCAGGCTAGCCTCACGGCCAGGGCCTCTGTACATCCGCCATCCACTGGCATGCTCTGTCATCCACCCACACCTCCTAGAGCTCCTACTGGCTGGAAGTCACTCCTGAAGAAAACACCACTGTGTAAGAGATTTTAAATAAAGTGTATTTTCTGTAAAATGTCAGCAGTCCTACCATTGCATTCATCTTTCCACAATAACATATTTAGCAACGCCTCACATTCACCTCCCTACATTGGGAGGATGCATCGCCTCCCTACATTGCAGCATCCCTTCATGTCCATGACTCCCACAGGCACACTCTCAACCCCTGGGAGCCAAAGAGAAACCCACTGCTAGCAGCTCACAGTGGAAGGGAAGGGGGCTTACAGACAGCAACCAACTTGCTCAACGCCTTGCTTTAAAAAAGATCACCAATACTCAAATAAACTCCAAACCAGCAACAAGTCATATAATAGGCAATATTACTTAACACATAGTACATTTTGAATCACAAAACAGAATGCATCTGATTTGAAAATTATGGTAGAAATATTCCAAAGTATAGAAGAGGAGGCCGGAGGAGAATGGAAAAGTCATTTAACATACTCCCGCTTGATTTCAGTGGGGGTGGCAGAGTTCAAGTCTTCAGCGTGTGAGCTTTCTGGCCCAGGTGCTTCATACAATTCTGGACCCACTTCTCCTTTGGGTCAGCACACATCTCCTTGCCCAGTTTGGTTCTGAAGCTGTGGAGGAAGGAAAGCTGGCGCAGTTAGATGGAACCCTTTGAGGGTTTACCTAGGAGATGACACACTGGGCTCTAAACCTGCCTGACCCACCTGCTACAGGTGAAGAGGCACCCCTGCGGGACAGGAAGTAGGCGGTGTGTGGACAGAAGGGGTCTCTGGAGGCAACCAGTGCTCTTGCTGCCCCTGGGAAACTGATCTTGGCATCTGCTAAAGGGTGTGGCCTGGTGCCCATCCAGCAAGCAGGGCATGGGAAATTATAGGCCGTCTTCAGGCCTGTTGTGCAGCCAAAATAGGAGGATTTGCATCACATAGTCTGGTTAGATCTCATCCTGAGTAAGATCCCAGGTCAGTCTGATGTCTGTCTCCTGGGGCAGAATTTTGGACTGGGGAATGTGGGGTTGGGGAGGAGTCAGGTGAGCTGGGACTTTTCTACCCACATGACAGCCTTCTGGGGACACCGGCTGGTGGTGATCCGATAGCTCTTCAACCTCTGCAAGGAGATCTTCTTACTGCTAAATGTGAAGCAGCAAATGGATGGGACGTTGAGTGCATCTAGAAATAGTTACAAATAAAAAGCTTTGAGAATATTTTAGGCTTTTCTCAGCTTGAATACAGCAGGGAGCATCTGTATGGGATGCAAAGCAAAGAGGAAGAAGTAGATCTTACCCACCTCCAAGCCCAGCGCTCCCACCCTAGACCCCGAGGTAAGGTGGGACCTGTGACATGGGCCTCAGGATCTCAAAGGCTCAGCTGCATGGTGAGGACATGTCACTGCCATCTAGGGGGAGGCCACGGGCAAGGCCAGTGGGAAAGGTACTGGGTGTGGTCCCAGATGTGCAGAGTTTGGGAAAATCAGATGAGGTCAAAGAAAAGGCCCTAAATTTGGAGTCAGAAGCTTAGGTTTCATTCTTGCTCTGGGATAACCTGGAGGTGGGCGGGTAGGATCCCTTCTGTCTCCAACATGGGCTTCAGCTTTCTATCTTTAAAATTAGATGTTAAAGTGAACCTCTGAGGAGCCTTACTATTCTGGTGGGCTTAGAAGTGGGGCACTTGGCTGGGCATGGCTGCTCACGCCTGTAATCCCAGCACTTTGGGAGGCTGAGACGGGAGGATCACTTGAGGTCAAGAGTTTGAGACCAGCCTGGCCCACATAATGAAACCCCTTCTGTACTAAAAATACAAAAATTAGCTGCACGTGGTAGCGGGTGCCTGTAATCCCAGCTACTCAGAAGGCTGAGGCAAGAGAATCGCTTGAACCTGGGAAGCGAAGGTTGCAGTGAGCCAAGATCTCACCCATGCACTCCAGCCTGGGCAACAGAATGAGACTCGATCTAAAAAAAAAAAAAAAAAGTGGGAGCACTTGGGCTTAGGTCTTCCTTGAAGAGAGAAACAGAGGGAAAGAGAGGGAGAGGGGAGGTGATGGTGACTTACCTGGCTGAGCAAGTCCCTGGGGATTGAAAGCTGCTGTTATAAGCAGCAGGCACAGAAGCGCTGCAGAGACTTTCATGTTGAAGGGTAAGAGTTGGAGATTTCACAATGTTTCTTTGCCTCTCTGCTCCTCTGGCTGTTCTGCCTGCCTTTTATAGGGAGTGGGGAGGCTTGGAGCTCTCAGAGGACCTTGGCCTGAGTAGGGTGTTGACCAAGTCATGATGAAGAGGGATCTTGAATCTGCTGAGCTGGAGCTGGGCACCAAAAACTTTTTTAGGAAATGCAAGAGGGAAGCTGAGGGCTGAAGCAGCATGGCATGGCTTCCTTCTGGCTGTCCAGGCCACAAGGAGCCAGAGAGGAAAAAGGGACACAGATGTGCCCCAGCCACTCACCATGGGAAGCCATCCAAGGAGCTGTTTTCTGCTTACTTTCTCTAGCAGAAAAAAGAAAAACAATGAAAATTAACTCCTGTAGAGAAAAGAGTGCTATGCTAAGGACTCTGTTCATGTTATATATTTAGTTTGAGGAGGTACGTACCATTATGATCATGCCCATTTCATAGATGAGGAAATGGATGCAGAGAGATTAAATAACTTGACCAAAGTCTTCTGGGAAATGAGTAGGAAAGCTATAAGAGAAAGCTAGTCTGCTTATATTTTATCACCAAGGTAGTTTCAAACTTTCGTTTAGCTGCAGAAGTCTTTTTCCAAGTCAATTTTTATGTGGAAGTCTAATATCTGAAACAGATTAAGTCACGTTCAGATGACAGGGGCTCCTTACATTCCATAATATGACCCCTTCTGCCCCTCAGGCCCAGAGGGACATGGTTCAAACACCTCTGACTGATGCGAGTCCCCTGTTTCCAGGAAGGACCATTGG